CTAATAATGATAAAAGTCTTCAGAGGTAAAATTATTATATTCCCATAGAGGAACATAAACATTTAACCTTATTGATATCCTTATGTTTTCTCTTTCATGTTTATCTTTTTATGCTTCTCTTGAGTCATATATTTGAATGTCAGATTTTCTGTTTAGCTCTAGTCTTTTCCTATGGAATGCTTGAAATTCCTCTATTTCATGAACTGTCTATTTTTTCCCTTTGGAAGATTATATTCAGTTTTGCTGGATAGGTTATTCTTGGTTGTAATCCTAGCTCTTTCGTCTTCCAGAATATCATATTCCAGTCCCTCTGTTCCTTTATTTAACATGTTAGCTGTTAAATCTTATGTGCTCCTGACTGTGACTTCACAGTATTTGAATGGTTTCTTTCTGCCTGCTTGCAATATTTTCTTTTTGACTTGGGAGCCCTGGAATTTGGGTATAATATTCCTGGGAGTTTTCATTTTTGGAACTCTTTCAGGTAGTAATTAGTGAATTCTTTTAATTTCTGTTTTGCCCTCTGATTCAAGGATATCAAGGCAATTTTCCTTGATAATTTCTTGAAATATGACGTCTAGAGTCTTTCCCTGATCGTGGATTTCAGATAGTACAGTAATTCTTAAATTATCTCTCCTGGATCTGTTTAACAGTTCAATTGTTTTTCCAATGAGATATTTCACATTTTCTTCTGTTTTTCACTTTTTAAAATTTTGTTTTATTGTTTCTTGGTGTCTCATTGAATCATTAGCTTCTGCTTGCCCAATCTAATTTTTAGGAATTATTTTCTTCAGTGAGCTTTTTGTACCTCCTTTTGCATTTGGCCAATTCTACTTCTTAAGGAGTTCTTTTCTTCAGTGAGTTTTTGTACCTCTTTTTACATTTGACCAATTCTGCTTTTTAAGGCATTCTTCTGTTCAGTGGATTTTTGTGCCTCTTTTACCATTTGGCTTATTTTGTTTTTTAAGGTGTTCTTTTATTCAGTATTTTGTGTGTGTGTGTGTGTGTGTGTGTGTGTTCCTTTTAGCAAGCTGTTGACTCTCTTTTCATAATTTTCTTGTTTACTCTCATTTTTTCCCCCAACTTTTCTCCACTGGTCTTATTTGATACTTAAAATCTGCCCCCCCCCCCCTTTGTTAAGGTCTTCTAGATTTGTATTTTTCTTTGAGGCTTTGCTTGTAACTGCTTTGATGTCTCCTTCTTAGGGATTTGTGTCTTATTTTTCTCCTTTTTAAATTTATTTTAATTTATCAACAGTCACTTCCATGTGCTTTTGAATTTAAAATGTTTCTCCCCTTTCCTCCCCACCACCTTCCCCAAGATGGCACACAATCTGATATAGGGTATACATATACATTCCTATTAAACATATTTTCACATTAGTGATGTTATAAGTAAAAATTAGAACCAACAGAAGGAACCACCAGAAAGAGGAAACAAAACTCAGCAGAAGAAAAACAATAACAAATAGTATGCTTCTATCTGCATTCAAACTCCATAGATGTTCTTTCTTTGGATGTGGATAGCATTTTCCTTCACGAGGCCTTTGGAGATGTCTTAAATCCTCGTATTGCTGGGAAGGATTAAGCTGATCAATATTAGTCATTGCACAGCGTGGATGTTATTGTGTACAATGATCTCTTGGTTCTGCTCACTTCACTCAGCATCAGACCATACAAGTCTTTCCAGGTTTTTCTGAAGTCAGCCTGTTCATCATTTCTTATAGCACAATAGTGTTCCCTTACATTCATATACCACAACTTGTTCAGCCATTCCCCAGTCGATGGGCATCCTCTCAATTTCCAATTCTTTGCCACCACTAAAAGAGCTGCTGTAAATATTTTTGTACATGTGGGTCCTTTTCCCATTAGCCCTAGAAGTGCTATTGCTGGGTCAAAGGGTATGCACATTTTGATAACTCTTTGGGCATAGTTCCAAATTGCACTCTAAAATGGTTGGATCATTTCACAACTTTACCAACAATGCATTAGTATTCCAATTTTCCCACATCTTCTCCAACATTTATCATTTTCCTGTTTTGTCATGTTGGCCATAGGTGTGATGTGGTACCTTGGAGTTGTGTTGATTTGCATATCTCTAATTAATAGTGATTTAGAGCATTTTTTCATATGACTATAGGTGGCTTCAATTTCTTCATCTGAGAATTGCCTGTTCATATCCTTTGACCATTTATCAATTGGGGAATGACTTGCATTCTTAATGACTTAATTCTCTATGTATTTTAGAAATGAGGCCCTTGTCAGAGAAACTGGTTGTAAAAATTCTTTCCCAATTTTCCACCTTCCTTCTAATCTTGGTTGCATTGGCTTTGTTTGCACAAAAACTTTTCAATTTAATGTAATCAAAGTTACCCATTTTGCTTTTCATAATGTTCTCTATCTCCTCTTTGATCATGAATTCTTCTGTTCTCCATAAATCTGATAGGTAAACTATTCCTTGCTCTCCCAGTTTGCTTACAGTATCAGCCTTTATATCTAAATCATGAACCCATTTTGACTTTATTTTGGTATATGGTGTGAGATTTTTGATCAATGCCTAGTTTCTGCCATACTCCTTTCCAGTTTTCCCAGCAGTTTTTTTTCAAAGAATGGATTCTTATCCCAGAAGTTGGGGTCTTTGGGTTTATCAAATAATAGATTACTATAGTCATTGACTACTGTGTCTTGCCTACTTAACCTCTTCCACTGATGTACCACTCTATATCTTAGCCAGTACCAAACAGTTTTGATGATTGCTGCTTTATAATACAATTTAAGATCTGGAATGGCTAGGCCCCCTTCCCCTGCATTTTTTTTTCATTAGTTCCCTTGATATTCTGGACCTTTTGTTCTTCCAAATGAATCTTGTTATTATTTTTTTCTAACTCTATAAAATAATTTTTTGGTAGTTTGATTGGTATGACTCTTATTTTTCTCTTTCATTGTAATAACTTGCTATGGCCAGATTCTTTTTTCTTGTTGTTTGTTCATTTTTCTAGCATGTTTTTTGTCCTTCAACTTTACGTTAAATTTGGACTCTGTTCTTGGAGTAGAGGGGGCACTGTCCCAATCTTCAGGCCTTTATTGCTGCTATTTTCAGAGCTAGCTTTGGGAGTTTGTAGGTTTTTGGTGCTTCAAAGGTGGTGTGATCTAAGTAGAGGTGGGGCCACTGCTTCTCTGGCCTGTGGTCTGGTCTTTATCCAGACGGGGATCACGTTCCCATGTAGCGACAAGCACTAGCACTCTTGCCCCCTGGTACTGTGACCGCGTCCTCTGCTCTACTTGCTAGAGCTCCTCTCTGTCTTGGAATTGAGAACAGGGTCCCTGTTCCCTCACAAGCACCTCTTTCTGCCCCAGGACTTTGACTAGGTCCCCTGCCCCCCTGCAGCTGTAAGTGATATTGCTCTTTTTGGCCATGGGCCTGTAACCTGGAACTGGGTATCGGCATTTAGAAAGTGGTACTATAAATATTGTGTTTTAAACGAGAACTTTCTTCATATCAGTAGCTTCCTTGGGGTATAAGTTTAGCAATGGAATGCCTGTGTCAAAGAATATAGACATTTTAATCCCTTTATTTGTATAATTCCAAATTGCTTTCCAAAATAATAGTATTGATTCACAGCTCCACTCCACAGTGTGTCCATCTTCTGACCACCCTTCCAATACTGATGACTATTGCCAGCTGTTGTCATCTTTGCCATTTTTCAGGGTGTGAGATGAAAACTCGATGTTATTTTGATTTGCATTTTTCTTATTATTAGTGATTTGGAGCAAACTTTCATGTAGTTGTTAATACTTTGCAAGTCTTTTGAGAATTATTTGATCATATCCTTTGACTACTTATTTACAGAGGAAAAGTTATTAGTCTTAAATATATCTGTTAACTGTTTATATATCTTGGATACCAAACCCTTATCAGAGAAATCTGATATAAAGACTTTTGTCCTATTTGATTGCTTCCCTTATTAGATGCATTAACTTTGTGTAGAAGCCTTTCAATTTCCTGTGATTAAAGTTATCAATTTTATCTTTTGTTTGGTTAAGAATCCTGCCGTAGTTGTGAGGTATAAAATCTGCTTCCATTCTATTTTTTTTTTAGTTTTCTGATCTTTAATAAGAAGATCACGTATTCATTTAGAATGTATTACAAAATATGATGTAAGCCTAATTTCTGCGAAACTGCTTTTCAGTTTTCCTAGCAGCTTTTATCAAATAGGGAAGAACTCATTGTCTTTTATCCTAATGCTAACCCTCTTCTGAAGTTCCCCATCACTTTTGAGAATACCATCATCTTTCCAGACACCCAGGTTCATCACCATAGTTACATCCTCAACTCTTTGCTCTCGCTTATCCCATATATCTGACAAATCTTGTTATTTCTTTCTATGACACATCTCTTATATACATCTCCTTCCCATCCTCACAGCTACTACCCTATTTCAGGCCCTCAGCACTTCTTTCCTGAACTGATGCTATATCCTTTCAGCTGATCTCCTTGCTTCCATATTTTTTCCACCCCGGTCTGTCCTCTAGACAGCTTTTAAGATGATCTCCACACCTTGTGTAGCCCTCTTTCTTCTAACTCCCCTTTATGTGTTGTTTTTCCCTCATTACAATGTAAGTTTTTTGGGAGGCAGAGAGATGATTCTTGCATGGTTGTAATTGTATCCACATGGTTTCTCTCTCTCTGTCTCTCTCTCTCTGTCTCTCTCTCTGTCTCTCTCTCTCTCTGTCTCTCTCTCTCTCTCTCTCTCTCTCTCTCTCTCTCTCTCTCTCTCTTCTGTCTCTCTGTCTCTCTCTCTCCCCCCCCATTTCCTTAATAATTAGCACCATACCTGTCACATAGTAAGTACTTAATAAATGCTTATTGATTTTTTTTAAAGTTAAAGATGTTTTTCCTCCTTTAAGGTAGCTTATGTTTTAGACAGTTGTTTATGCTTTGTTGAAGTGTTATTTACATTATTTTAAAACCTGTTTCTTGTGTATGTTCTTTTTTTCTAATAGGCAGCCAGATAAACTGGTAGTTGTTTGGACAAGAAGAAGCCGAAGGAAATCTTCTAAGGTTAGTAAACATTCTGTCTGATTCAATTCAGCATTTAGTTGTTATATACTTAAGGCACATGTGGTAAGATTTAAATGATAGCATCATACATTAACAGTTGTTCATAGTAAAGCATAACTGTGCAATTTTATTTTATTTTTTGTACTAGACCTTTGATTTCATTGGTATGGGGAAATCCAGTGAAGAACCCTTCTTTACCCTCAATTCTCCCACCCCAGGCCAACCCCCAAAGCAGATCAGTATCTGCTTGGCAACTTTAATCATAACATGTTTACTTAGGGCACTGAGATGTTAGGTGATTTGCCTGGGGTAGCAATCAAGTATTTGTGGAAAATTGGGCTTTAATCCAGGTCTTCTTAAGTGTAAGGACCTGCCATCTACTCCACCAGTAATGTCAAATTCAAAGAAAAACGGGGGCCACTAAAACGTACTTAAAGATCCCTGGGGTCACATATTGCTTTAGAAAACCATATTCTAACTTTCTTTGATTGTATTTTTATTTATTTTGTTAAATATTTCCCAGTTACATGTTAAACATTAGGGAAAAACTGACAGTGTTTTGACCTCATGAGGTCATAAAGAGTCAGACACAACTGAACAGTTGAACAAGCCATTGATCACTTACAGAAGTGATAATTATACATTTTATGAAGAACAATTAAAATCCCTAAATATCATTATATAATTTTTATGGTCATGTTCTTTTATAAATAAATGAGTCCTATTTCATAAATAGGCAGTGGCCATTTAAAAAAATGTGTGTTGGTGCTATGTTTGAAATTTTTGCTCTGTAGGCCAAAGCCTGACAAATTTGCTTACAAACCAGCCCAAATATTTAGGAGGTAGGTGACATTTTAAACTCTCAAGGAAATAAAAATAAGAGGAACAAAAAAGATGTAGCATAGGCCATGTATTCAAGATCCAATTTGGAACTTGATTTAGGGTTATTGAAGAAAAATCCTAAAGAAAGAGCTGGAAAGGTGAAAAGACTGAGCACATCTGGCCAAGGGTTAGGTAGAAGGTCTGGTGGCCTATAGCTAGATCTTTCTTCTTCCTTTTTCATAGAGAGTAGTGCTCAAGGCTGATGTAGGGACATTATGTTTCAGTGAAAAGAATGCTGGATATGGAATCAAGAAATGTTAGTCTGGCCTTTCGGTTTACTAACAATGACCTTGGGCAAGCCGTTTAACTTCTAAGCCTGGATTTCCTTATTTATAAAATGAAGGAGGTAGAAGACTAGATAATTCTGCAGCTCTCTTTAAGTTCTAATATTAGGTCACTCTCACAGACTGTGAAACAATAATCAATGAAATACTGGATACCCTATGTATAAACAAATTTTCATTGTAACATATAGCAGGGCTTGACAAATTTCAGGTGCCACATCATCATGGTACTTATCAATTCTATCACCCTTGCCCAGAATTTCTAGTACTAGTTTACCATAATGAGTGAATGAATGAAACTTACTATTCTTTTAGGTTTATATATAGGGTGTATATATATATATATATATATATATATATATATATATATATATATATATATATACATATATATATATACATATATATACATATATATATATACATGTATATATATATACATATATATGAAAATTTTTACTAAAAGACATACATTTTATTGATATATTTTTGTTTTTATGTTGCTTAAATTTTTTCCACTGTCCCTTCCTCTAATCCCTTCCAGAGAACCATATTATATAAGAAAGACTTTTTTTTTTAAGAAGGAAAATAGGAAGGAGAAAAAAGAATCAGCAAAACTGATCAATACATTGAAAAAGTCTTAAAATACATGCAGTGTTCCATACCTTTGGACCTCCCACTTCAGTAAGGAGTAGTGGGGAGGTGTCTTTTCATATCTCTTCTTTGGGGCTTGCTTTTTATTTTTCACCATTCACTTTTGATTGTTTTGTGGTGGTTTTTTTTTAAAAATTTATATTATTGTAGTCATTATGTATTTTTCTTGGTCCTTCCTGCCCCTTTTCTTCCCAGAATAGTTCCCTATCCTTCCTGCTTCCTTTTTTTTTTTTTTTGCTAGGCAGTGGGGTTAAGTGACTTGCCCAGGGTCACACAGCTAGTAAGTGTTATGTGTCTGAGGTCACATTTGAACTCAGGTCCTCCTGAATCCAGGGCCTGTGCTGTATGCACTGCGCCACCTAGCTGCCCCTTCCTTTTTCTTCTAAGACCATCAGAACAGAAGAAAACAACTCCCATGCCCCCTTTGTCCATCTTTTAAAATTTTATCTATGACCTATGAACATATTAGGGGTATGAGAAGACACATATTTTAGCATGTCATCTATTTATCTTAACATAGTACCTTCCAATTATGTACCTTTCTATGTTTCGTTTGACTCCTGCATTGCAAAGTATCTTCTTAGTTCTCATATTTTTGTGAGGAATTCTGAGAGATCCTATTTCATTAAGTCTGTTTCTCCTCTGTGTAGGATTTTGCTGAGTTTTACTGCATGACTTTTTAAAGGCTTTTTCAAAAAATAAAGATGAATCTTTGTCTTCTGCCTTTTTGAATATTTTGTTCCAAGCTTTATTTTCCTTTTTAATTCCAGCTGCCAAATCCGATGTGGCCTTGACAGTATCTCTCCTTTCTTTTACGTGAACTCTTTCTCTTTGGCTGCTTGTAATATTTTATCTTTTGACATGGAAGTTCTGGATTTTGACTATAACATGTCTGGGAGTTTTCATTTTGGAGTTTCTTTCAGAAGGGGATCAGTGGATTCCTTCTGTTTTCACTTTGTTCTGGGTTCTAGGAAATGTAGACAGTTTGCATTTTGCTTTCTTTTTATTTATTTATCTTAATAGTATTTTTTTCCCCCAGTTACATGTCAAGAAAATTTTTAGCATTCATTTTTCACAAGATTTTGAGTTCCAAATTTTTCTCCCCTCCCCCCTTCCCTCCTTCCCCATTCCTGTTCTGAACATGGTAGGCAGTTTGATATAGTTTATACATGTGCTGTCATGTAAAAACAGATTTCCATATTAGTAACAGTTGTGAAAAAAAAACCAGATTTTTTAAAATCACAGGAAAGAATAAAGTAAGTGAAAAAAATGCTTCAATCTGCATTTGGAGTCCATCAGTTCTTTATCTGGATAGTGATAGCATTTTCCTCCACAAGTCTTTTGTACTTGTCTTAGATCACTGTGTTGCTGAGAAGAGCTGAGTCATTCATAGTTGATCATCACACAGTGTTTCTGGTACTGTGAACAATGTTTTCTCCATTTCACTTTGCATCAGTTAGTACGAGTCTTTCCAGGATTTTCTGAAATCTGCCTGCTCATCATTTTTTATTGCACAATAGCATTCATATACCACAGCTTGTTCAGCCGTTCCCCAATTGATGGGCATCCCTTCAATTTCTAATATATTGCCACAGCAAAAAAAGGAAATAGTTTTGCTTATATAGGTCCTTTTTCCTTTTTTGTGATCTCTTTGGTGTACAGACCTAGTAGTGGTATTGCTAGATCAAAAGGTATGCACAGTTTGGTTGCCCTTTGGGCATAGACTGGATCAGTTAACAACTCCATCAGTAGTGCATTAGTGTCCCAATTCTCCTACATCCTCTCCAACATTTATCATTTTCCTTTTTTTGTTATATTAACCAATCTGATAGGTGTGAGGTGGTATCTCAGGATTGTTTTAATTAGCATTTCTCTAATCAAAAGTGATTTTTTTGGTCAGTTAACAGGCATTTATTAAATATTTCCTATGTGCAGGCATTATATTAAACATTAGGAATACAAATAACAAGTAAAAAGAAAGGCAGTCCTTTCTTTTTTTTTCATTTTTTTAATTAATTATTTATTTTTAGTTTTCAACATTCAGTTCCACAAGATTTTTGAGTTCCAAATTTTCTCCCTATCTTTCCTCTCCCCCCACCCCAAGAGGGTGTGCATTTTGAATCTCTCTTCTCCCAATCTGCTCTTCCTTCTATCATCCCCCCCCTCTTTTATCCCCTTCCACCCTATCTTCCTGTAGTGTTCAAGGTAGATTTCCATATCCAAATGAGAGGAAGATTCACTTATTCCCTCTCACTTCCCAACTCTTCTCCTCCACTGTAAAAGCTTTCTTGCCTTTTTTATGTGAGATAATTTACCCCATTCTATCTCTCTCTTTCTCCTTCTCCCAGTACAATCCTCTCTCACCCCTTAATTTTATTTTTTAGATATCATCCCTGTTCAACTCATCCTGTGCCCTCTGTCTACATATGTATTCCTTTCAACTACTGTAATAGTGAGAAAGGTCTCATGAGTTAACAAATATCATCTTTCCATGTAGAAATGTAAACAGTTCAACTTTAATAAGTCCCTTATGATTTCTCTTTCCTGTTTACCTTTTCATACTTCTGTTGAGTCTTGTATTTGAAAGTCAAATTTTCTATTCAGCTCTGGTCTTTTCATCAAGAATGCTTGAAAGTCTTCTACTTCATTGGATGGCCATTTTTCCCCGTGAAGGATTATGCTCAGTTTTGCTGGGTGTATGATTCTTGATTTTAATCTTGGCTCCTTTGACATCCAGAATATCATCTTCCAAGCCCTCTGGTCCCTTAATGTAGAAGCTGCTAAATCTTATGTTATCTTGATTGTGTTTCCACAATACTTGAATTGTTTCTTTCTTTCTCTTTGCAATATTTTCTTCTTGACCTGCAAAGTCTGGAATTTGGCTATAATATTCCTAGGAGTTTTCCTTTTGGAATCTCTTCCAGGAGGTGATCAGTAGATTCTTTCTATTTCTATTTTACCCTCTGGTTCTAGAATATCAGTGTAGTTTTCCCTGATAATTTCTTGAAAGATGATGTCAAGGCTTTTTTTTTTCATCATGGTTTTCAGGTAGTCCAATAATTTTAAAATTCTCTCATCTGGATCCGTTTTCCAGGTCTGTTGTTTTTCCAGGGAGATATTTCATGTTGTCTTCTATTTTTTTTCATTCTTTTGGTTTTGTTTTGTAATGTCTTGATTTCT